CTTGAAGTAATTAAGCTAGAAACGCCTCATGGAATACTCAAATGCTTAAGGACAGTGCTCTTCTTACCTCAAGAACAGGGCACATTATTTCTGCTGTGGTACCTCCTTGTTTTTCACAGAACTTATAGAAAGCCTCGAGATAAGACTAAACGAAGGAGAAAAAGATAAATTTTATATAGAACTTCTTTAAGGCCCCAGGCCAGCAAATAATTAAGTATGTGGGTACTCCAGCTGAATTTGATGGGTAAGATAAGTATGTACTTAAATGATTTACTAGATTGAACTTGGAAAATTAAAGTGTCTTCCTCTTAAAATGTTAATACAATAAAACTTAAATTGTCCGGCACCCAATTGTCCAGCGCTCCCAATAGTCTGGCATCAAAATGGCAAGCGCCCCTGACAGAACTGGGACGGAACCCGGAACTGCTTAGGTCAGCCGCTCTCACGTGGGTTACAGCAGGGAGGGAAGGTGTTTGGCTCTGGGGAAGGAGAGAAGGGGAAGGGGGATTGTGTTACACACGGCGTCCCTGCCAGCTCACTGAAAAGCTGGCCGCTCAGTGCACGTGCCCCAGCGCCTGGAGGGAGACGTGCGGCTGTACCAGGACCTGAGCATAAGGTGGGAGGTGGGGGATGGAGTGGGATCAGGTTACAGCAACGAGGAGAAGTGTTTGGCTCTGAGGAAGGGGAAGGGGAGGGGGATTGGGTTACACACGGCATCCCAGCCAGCTCATTGAAAAGCCGGCCGCTCAGCGCATGTGTCCCAGTGCCAGGAGGGAGATGCGCATCTGTACTGGTAGCTCCGGGACCCAAGCATAAGATTGGGGATTGGGTTGGGAGTATGCAGTACCTCCTGCTACTCTGGCATATCCGATAATCCGGCACCACTTCGGTCCCAAAAGTGCCGGATTATCGGAAGTCTACTGTAACATCTAAAGTAGGGGTGGGCAAACTTTTTGGCCTGAAAGCCTCATCTTGGTAAGGAAATTATATAGAAAGCCACTCCATCACTTGTCCCATTCAGCTGCAGCTGGAGAATGGGATTGGCGACTTGCCTTGTTCCTCTCACCTGCCTGGTGTTCCTGATGGGGAGTGAAATCCAGGCACAGGGGCTTTCAGGCCCTCAACCCTGCTCCCTAGTGGAGTGCTGAAGCACGGCAAACTCTTGCTCCCTGGCAGGAACAGTAGAGCACAACAATCCCACAACCCCATTACCAGCTGGGCAATGGAATTGAAGGGCCAAATTAAAAGCAAATAATTAGCTTACACCTGCAGCATTTTCACTAATGAGATTTTGAAATATAGAACATGGTGATAGTTCTCAAATTGTAGGGGTTTGATCATATTTGTGCAGGGCCAGCCCACAACATTTTGGCACCTGAGGTGGGGAGCTCAAATTACGCCTCCATGGCCCCCCCCTTGCTTGGACCAAAACTTCGAAAGGTCTCATTTCTGCCTTATTCCTGATCTACCCCTCACGGCACTCCACCATCTCTGTGCATCTGGAGCAGAGAGAATACATATGAACCAGCAGCAGACGCAATTTTCTACACTCTGGCCGTGTCCAGACTCAGGGGTTTTTTCGGGAAAAGTAGCCTTTTCCCGAAAAAACTTCCCCTGCGTCCAGACTCAAGCCGCGTTCTTTCGAAATTATTTCGAAAGAACGCGGCTTTTCTTTCGATGGCGGTAAACCTCGTTTCACGAGGAAGAACGCCTTCCTTCGAAAGCTCCTCTTTCGAAGGAAGGCGTTCTTCAATGTAAAGAGGCTGTCTTCGAAAGAGAGCATCCAGACTCGCTGGGTGCTCTCTTTCGAAAAAGCGGATTTTTCTTTCGAAAGATCCGCCTGCAGTCTAGACGCGATCTTTCGAAAGATGCTCTTTCGAAAGATGCTTTCGAAAGAGCATCTTTCGAAAGAAGCCTGCAGTCTAGACATAGCCTCTGGGTCCTAGTGGCACCTCCTCCCCACAGTCTGGCACCTGAGGTGGCCACCTCAGTTCGCCTCATGGTAAGGCCAGCTCTGTATTTGTGTAATTTTTTTCACTTTTATAGGAAGTTCACGGTAGAGCATTCCAAGAAGCATTTACCTTGTATAGCTTGTTGCGCATTATTTCAATGTTCATTTCATCCAAATCATTTTCAGACAAGCAGTCTTGAAAGAAAGGTGCTGAAAACAGAGTTTAAGTTACAGAATAAATTCATATGGAGATATGAGTATCTCTGACAAGTAGCAATCTACCAGCTGTGTGTCACAATCAAGGAAGTGTGGTTTCTGTTATACAAGAAAGTGTAATTTGAGGAGGAATAGGGAGGAGAAACAGGAAGGTAAATATGTGAAATCCTCTTAATTGTTTTCTTTATACTGGGATTCTGCTGCAAGGGGAATCAATTCATCTGTCAATACCCAAATCTCCAGAGAACATCAAATGGGGATTGCTAATTAAGGCTCTAGCCTACTCCCTGGCACAAGTAGTTAGGCTGGGCTTTAGGGAGTTTACAGAGGCTGAAGTAGTGAACAATCTTTCTTTTAAAGTCATGGAGCTGCTTTGTGGCCCAGTTGGTGGTGTAGCCTCCTTAGCTATACCCCTTCAGTATGTTTTTGTACATGGGGAAGGAATAGAGGATCCATATAACAAAGGATCCTTCAGCCCCAATCTTTCTCTAGTCCTAGCCAGGCACCCACCACCAGCTTCTCCAGGGCTGGAACTGGCAGGGGCAGAGCAGGTAGCTCTAGCTCCTTTACACGGTGAATGCCTGCATAATTGGGCACAACACAGTGCAGAGCATGAACACCAAATTGTATCACTTTGCTCAATTAAATAACTTGAAAATACAATGTGTGTAACTAGCGAAGCTATGCTGGTTGTTCACCATATTCCTTTGCTTGTACAGTGTATCCACAATCTTATCCCTTGGTCTGTTTTATCTTTTGATTATAAACCATTCAAGGCACAGCTTGGCTTTTTCTCTGTTTGTACTGTGTCCAGCACAATGGGTTTCCACACCTTACTGGGCTTTTGCGCAATACAATAAAATAAATATTTAATAATAATTGCTTCCATTACCCGGAACCTTGGCACCTAAAGAAAAATAGGCCGGATTTTTCCTAAATGGTTCAGTTATGGAAACAGCTGTTTGTAGATGTTTACAGTAGACCTTGAAATAAGAATTCAATCATTATCAGAGTCATTTGATATTTCTGAAAGTAAGCTACAAAAAATCTAATCTAGTGTAGCATGTTTTCTTTATGTGATTGCTCTGCAGGTTAAATAAAAATTGGTAATCAACCAGTGTTTTGTTGAAAGCTCAGAACACCACTTCAAAATTGCATCCTGTTCTGCAATTCTCTTGCCAATTACTCATAGGTTAAATAATCAAATAATATTAAATGTATTCAAACAACTGCTGATGTGATCTGAAATGAAATTATCAGGAATATGTGAAGAGGAGCATATGTGTAGAAAAAAGAGAAATCATTACATTTTCATACCTAATGGTGTGTCAACCAAAATTGCATTGAATAGTTAAGCAGGGTTTGGGGCAATGCTGACTGCTTCCATTTGCTCAAAACTACCCAATGGATGGCACTTGGGAACAAGTTCAGCTATGGGTCTCTGATGCAGTGTACCAGTTATCAACAGAATCACGTTGTCAATCATATAGCTGTATCTGAGTTTGGAGAAAAAAGTTACAAAATTTCTTATTAGGAAAGTTTGCCTTAGAAAAATTGAGAAACAGAGCATATAAAAGTAAACCTAAACCACCAAAATACTTGCTCTGTTTTCAGCTATTCAGACACCAACATCCCACAAACAGAAAAATAACTGCTAGATAACATTCATTTTGAACGCTGGTGTTGCTTAGACATTTAAATGCTTTTGGACTTACTTCTTTCTTTAGAACAAGTATAAATGCAAGGAAAGTGTTTTTATGCAGCACTGCAGCCTTAGGATGTGGTTTTGTTTTAAGATCTACCCATACATTATACCAATAGTACATCTGCTGAATTAGAAGCTGCTGCAGTTTGGGGATATTGCTGTTTCCTATGAGGAACGTTAGGATAACGGCAACTATTGAATGTGACTATATTCAGAGTTCCTTTTGTGATGGAGTTGTACTTTTAAGTGTGTTATTATGACTGGTGGACTCTATGATTATAGAATTTGGGTGGATGACCTTGGCCTCCTGCAGATCACTCAGTATCCTTCAGGCCAGCCACATGGCTATTTGGGATTCTCACAGAGATTTCTTCCCTCTTACCAGCCTTCTGTGGGTTTTACTACAAGAGTGAATGGACAGCATGTTGCTATGATATTGATAAATTTCGAGGTTGTAGCATATGTGGATGGAACCGGTTTTCATAGGCTACGTCTACACTACAGGCTTCTTGCGCAAGAAGCCTTTTGTGCAAGAGTTTTTGCACAAAAACATCTTGCACAAGAGCACGTCCACACTGCATGGACGCTCTTGTGCAAGAAAGCTCTGATGGCCATTCACAGAGCTTTTTCAAATAGGCTGTATTTGCACAAGAAACCCCTGTGGAGTGTCCACACATGCCTTTTCGCACAACAGCTGTAGAGCAAAAAGGAGTTATGCCTCGTAGAAGGAGGTTTACCTACACCACAAGAAGCCCTCTGTTCTGCCATTTTACTGTTGATTTCCTTTTGCAAAAGCGTGCTTGAGGTGTGGACTCTCCGCAGGTTTTTTCACAAAAATGGCTGTTTTTGCGCAAAAACCTTGTAGTGTAAACGTAGCGATAGTGTTTTACCTGTGCAATTTAAAGGATGGATACTACTCTTCAGTGTTGCTTTACTCTTCAGTGTTGCTTCACTCATTCAGAACAGATTACTGGAATTTCTTATGAAAAGTTTGAAAGGGGGCTAAAGGATTTTAGACAGATAGCTTAGTGATGTAAAAAACATGTCCTATACTATGAAAATACTGTCCTTATTTCAAAACACCACCATGCATGCCGAGGGGGAGGAAAATGTGCCTGCAAAATGGTGAAATTAAAAAAGGAATATTTTTTTTAATCAAATTCTGTGAAACAAAAATTGTGAATTTTGCAGTTTTAGTGCTTAGCTGTCCTAGTGTAGTCTTGCAAAATCATTGGCTACATCTAGACTGGCATGATTTTCCGCAAATGCTTTTAACGGAAAAGTTTTCCGTTAAAAGCATTTGCAGAAAAGAGCGTCTAGATTGGCACGGACGCTTTTCCGCAAAAGTCCCTGCCAATCTAGATGCACTTTTGTGCAAAAAAGCCCCGATCGCCATTTTCGCAATCGGGGCTTTTTTGCGCAAAACAAATCTGAGCTGTCTACACTGGCTCTTTTGCGCAAAAGCTTTGCCCAAATGGGAGCAGCATAGCATTTCCACAAGAAGCACTGATTTCAGACAGTAGGAAGTCAGTGTTCTTGAGGAAATTCAAGCAGCCAGTGTAGACAGCTGGCAAGTTTTTCTGCAAAAGCAGCTGCTTTTGCGGAAAAACTTGCCAGTCTAGAAGCAGCCACTATGTTTATTAGTTCATGCACAAAATTAACTCAGCCATCTTTATGATAATAAATAAAATATAATGATACTTTACTTTTGTGCCAGGAAAAAATTACTACCCCAAACTAATCTGGGAAGTTAATTCTTGCAAGTTTGTAACAATTTATTAAAAGGTAAGATAAGAAGGAACATATACTAAAGTACTTACGACTGAGAAAAGGAGATTTTCTAAAACACCCAAACCAAAATATATCAGGTCTATATTTTCTCAGTAATGTGTTGTTAAAGTCAAGACCAGATCAAATAGGACTTAGACTTTTCAAATACAAAGAATTTAACATAGAAATTCATATTTAGACTGCTATCTTGAAGCAAGATGCAGAGTTTGCTATATATATGGAAATATAGAATATGTATTCTGCACTAGAACTCCTACCCCTTCATATCATGAGTTTCTTCATCTTGCCCCAGAAAATCCAAACCCTAATTTAAAAACAGCGATATAATTAGAAAAATGTAAATCCTTCTTCCCCATCTCACCTCCTCCACTCCAAACAAGGAATATAACTTTGAAAGTGTTCATCCATGATGTAACAAATAAGAATAGATTTTAATGCAGGTTTCCAAACACTGAGTTACACATCTTTAAAATGATACAATATTTTTTAAAAATCACTCATTGACCAGCTGTGTGTAAATTGCAACAACACAAAATTTACCTTGACTTACTTTGAATAATTTGGCAATTGAAATGAACAAGGTAACCTAACTTACGTGATGAAGTTCAGAAATGTGGCAAGGGGTTCAAAGGCATGGTTTCTAAAGTAGTGAAATTCTGTGAGTAATTTGGCTTTCAGTTTATCATCAATGGTGGAAACGGTGAGAGGGCCAGTTTCATTGGCCAAGAAATTGCCGTAGTCTGTGGTCTGTAGATGTAACTTCAAGTCTACAAAAAGAGTCAGAAGATGCCATGAGGATAAACTGTCACAATGCCAGGAGCAGAACCAACTAGAATAACTTTGCATTTATAGTTTTTTACCCTATATTTCTATATTAAGATGATCATCTTCTAGTGAAGTCAGAGTGAGTTTTGCCATTATCTTCACTTAGGACAAGTGCAGGGCTAGTACAAATTTGCACCTTCTTTTCCTAACCAGGCTTTTTTAAATACCATAGGAGATGACCAATTGTGAGTCATTCCTCAGATGTTGTATTAGGGCAGGGCTGCTTTAATCTCCATAGAGTCTTACCAGTGATACTTCAGTGGCAATGGACTGAAATAGCACATTCTCCCATCCACCTTCTCAGAACAGCCACCAGATTGAGTTCATTTACAGTAATCACATTCAACATACTCCCTTTGTCAAACAAACTCATTCTAGTTACTACCTGTGCATCTACCAGTGTATTTCTAGGTCTTCCTGCACCAGACTGAATGCAGCCAGTAAAAACTAATCCTTATGAAGGAAATCCATGTTAAACAAGTCTTACAGAGTTAAACACAAGATTCTGTTGACAAAACATTGTAAAGGTTATGTCCTTTTAAGCACATAGTCTATAGTCAGTGGAGTCAGAAAACTGAAGATTGCTGCAGTACAGATTTATTTTCTAATTGAAAATATACTTACTTAATCCTAGCACGAGGAAAAATATTTGTCTATTTATCATGCTCATAATTATATCTAAAATCAAGTCTATATAGATAAATATTTTTGTACTCACCAATATTTTGTATCACAGCTATATTTTCTATGAAAATGAAAAGTTATAATTTTGCCTTTTTTTCCCCTTTCTTAATGTATTGAACTAACATGTAAGGATTAGAATACTTTACTATGTCATCAGAGAGGAACAAGACTCAAGCTTCTTGTGACCTTTTTCCAGCTGCCTCATTTGCCTTGATTTACTCCACATAAATGCATTCTGAGCAGCTTGATACAGCTGCTCATAAGGGGTCTTCCTTTGGAGCTGAGGTGGCTGGTCAACCTATACAGCATAACCCAGACACCAATCTCTTAAGTCTCAAACTCTGCATAGAGCTATCACTATATTTCACTGATAGGATCATCAGAATAGGCATTGTATCAGCAGTGTTGTTGTAGCCATGTGAGTCCCAGGATACTACAGAGGCAAGGTGAATGAGATAATATCTTTTATTGGACCAATTTCTGTTGATGAGAGAGACAAGTTTTGAGATTACACAGAGCTCTTGAGGTCTGAGAAACTAACAAATGCCACTGCTAAATATAAAGTTAGAACAAATTCTTTAGCATAAGTAATTAACACAAATTTCAAGAGACCATACAAAGTGAAGTGGCCTGTTAATACTCCATCTGTTATATCAAGGAAAAGGCATGGTGGAAAGCTGCTGGGGGAGTTGTTAGTTGGTTAAAGATTGCTGCAATAAACCATGAATCATCTTTATTTAGTCCATGATTTTTAGTGTCTAGCAAAGTTATGAATGTAAACTCCCAGGCTTGTCTTTTGAAAGTGTTGTGCAGGTTTCCTTTGAGGATCAGGACTGATAGGTAAGATATAGTCATTGCTTTCTTCCATGTGTTCATCCACAGTGATAGGTGGTTTGGCTATATCTAGATTACTGATAGCGGCACAGTTGTAACACTGCCGGTAAAGCACTGTAAAGTCTTCCCTGTAGCTGCTGTATGCCAACAGGAGAGCTCTCCTATCTGCCTAATTAAATCCAATGGAAGATTAGTCACTGGACCAAAGGGTCCCATGCCCATGTGCTGCAGAAAAATAGGTGAACCTGCACCCTGACCTACTCTACCTGGCACTGCTGCTGGGAAGCACAGTTTGGGTGTGGGAGCTTTCCCCACCCTGCTTACCCAGTGCTCCTCCTGGGGATATGGGAAGCTCTCATGCCCCAACCCTGCTCCCTGCAGCAGGAGTCCTGGGAAGCAGAAGCCCCTACTACGCCCTGCCTCTGCTCCCTGGCAGAGGGGGAAATGCAAGTGGAATGGGTGGGGAAGGGCTACCATTTGCACTGGCCCAGGGCCCCACAATATAGTAATCCACCTCTGATTAAATCATCCCAATGAGTGGCGTTGGTGGGAGAGCATTTCCTGCCAACATAGTGCTATCCACACCAACACTTCTGCCAGTGAAACTTATGTCAGCCAGAGGTGGTGGTGAGGCAGGGGTTTCCACACCTATACTGACCAAACTTTTACTGATAACAGTGCCATTGTAGACTTAGCCTTTAACTTTTATCATCTTCCTGTGAGAGTTCATTTGAGAGTGTAATGCTTGTTTTTGTTTCACTCTATAATTGCTATTGGGGCATTTGGTGCACTGGTTGAGATACATCACATGTTGTGATAGGGATGTTTAAGACCCCAGGATCTTCAAAGACATATTGTAGGGGTGTAGCAATGCAGCCATGTCTTTGGGTTTTGCAGCTACTGAAGGGCTTGGTGCTACTTTGAGATATGTCTGATCTGGGGGCAGCTTGCTTCTGATGATGAGCTTGGAAAAGTAGGGGAGTTGTATGAAGGCCAGTAAAAGGGGTCAGGAAATACTTTTTCAGATGAGGTCTCTGTCAAATAATGGCTGTAGATGCGTATGTATTGAGTTAACTGAAAGCAGAAATTCTACCTGTGACCAGATTGTAGCATCTGCCCTATCACCCAGAGAACATGCAAATAGTGCAAATAGATAGCCCTATCACCTACTACGAATGCAAATAGTGATCCCTTCGGAGAAGCACATTAATAACATTAGATGAAAAATTCAATAGTTCATTCAATCCCCCAGAAGTCAACACTTGACCCTAAGGAGATCTCCATTATTTTCTAGTCTCCAGTCTCCAGTTCCTTAGCAAAATAACAGTCCCACACCCTTTTCAATAACTTTGGGTGTGTCCAGACTACAGGGTTTTGTCGACAAAAGTGGACTTTTGTTAACAAAACTATACCTGCATCTACACTACCGCTGAGTTCTGTCGACAGTAAGTTGACAGAACGCGACAGTTTTGTTGACGGCAGTAAACCTCATTCTAAGAGGAATAATGCCTTTTGTCGACAGAGTTCTGTCGACAAAAGGCGCTATTGCATCCACACTGTTTTTTTTCTAGACCAGGAGTTCCCAACCTTTTTCGGTCCCCGTAACCCCTTGGCTTTTAGTAAACCTTCCCGTACCCCCTATTCACTATGAAAGGAAATAAATTCTGGACTCTAGAATCCACAACTCATTTCACTAACACTACTACTTTTGGAATATTTCAATTAGGATAATCTAGTTATTTACCAAATATTCCCCATACCCCCTTGACAAGCTTCTCGTACCCCTTGGGGGTACACGTACCCCAGGTTGGGAACCTCTGGTTTAGACTGTCGAAAAAGCGGCTTGCTTTGTCGACAGAACTGGATGTAGTCTAGACGCTCTTTGTCGACACAGGCTTTTTCAACAGTATCTGTCGACAAAGCCTCTGTCAACAAAAGCCTGTAGTCTAGACGTACCCTTTGTGACCTTCCCACTACTCCTTTTTGGGTCAGAACCCCTAAATTTATAACTTAATGTAATTTCAGATTTAAATAACTGAAATGAAATTTATTATTTTAAAAATCCTGTGATCATGAAATTGATGAAAATGAACCATGAATTTGGTAGGGTCCTACACATAGTGCATGTAAATAGTGATGTGTGTAATTTTGATGCTCTTTCAGTTTTTGGTTGTCAGTGTTAAATTTGTGGGAGATGAGGGAATCTGGTATTACTTTAAAAAAATTGCCAAATGCTTCAAAGGAAGGAAATCCTGAACAGTTAAATGGACAGAGAACAATTACACAAAAGTTCATGACAGAATAGCAGTTGCTACAGGCTGCTGCTCTAATGTGTGTGGATTCTAAAATAGAGTTAAGATCAGGGAACAAGATTAAGAAAACTCATTAGAGTTAATTTATACTGCAAAGCTCATTTAGAGAAGGATCTTGGTATCTTACAATTATCTGTCAGTAAAATACCATGCACTCATTCAGTACTGCAGAAATAACAATAAGATAATTTAGTTCAAAACTTTTGAAAGGCAGATACATTTTTGAACAATGGTTTTCTCTCTAACAATATCTTAATTTTTAAATGAACTATCTATCATGTAGTTTATTTCTCCAGAACATGATTAACCATTTTTTTCCTTGAATGATCACTCTTTGGAAAGATTGGGTATTTTTTTAAAGATTGGATAGATGGTGAAAAATACCTTATTTTTCAAAGTGAGGTATTTCTTCACTCTTTAAAAAAACAGCCAAGGAGCTAATTTATGCTCTCAGAAAACTCAGGAAACATCACTTGTTTGCCTACTGGAAAGTGAAGAAAAGATAAAGGAAGAAAGAGCACTGGGTTTAATAATTCATTGAGCAGGAGATATTTGACTCATGGAAATAGCTGCAGTAGGAAAGTCTGGAGAACTGGCAAGGTTCTTAGGCCATAATTCCTAATACAAAAGAAGTTACAGGACAGGAACTAGTCATGCTCATATTTCCAGACTATTATAAGGTCCACTACCCAAGCCTTGTAAGAAGAGAGAGAGGAGCATTTGTGTGGGCAAGTCTCAGCTTCCTCATCCCTTCTACTGATTCTGCTACCATCACTGCAGAAGCAAAGATGCTAATGTTTGAGGCGCAATGAACTGGCATTTCTATTATGCTGATAATTTTACCTAATGCAATTCCAAACTGTAAAAACAAATTGGTTAAATAAGTGTAGTTTTTACTCTTAGATACAGGAGAACATCGTTTATTTCATTTGTTTCGTTTCATTGTTCATTTATTTGCTAAAGAAGTTTTCTGTTTGTAATTTATTTTTTTAGAAATGCCTGGAGAGGGATCATCTGCTTATCTATTTTCACAGGTCGGCATGAGCTAGCCTGTGGCCAGAAAAGCTGTTTTGGAAACAACTGCCTGTTCTCGTCTCTGGAACAAAGTCACCTTCACAAAAGCCTTTATTTGTTTAAAAGTAATGCAACTTTATCTCCCTAAAGCCCAAATTTTCCCCCTTTTAAATGGAAAGTCTCTTAATGATCTAAAAATTATGCAATAACACAATTTTATAATCAGAACCTTTATGGAAAAATCCAATGGATACCTTACCAAATGGTAAGCTTTTTCTAGGTTTTTGTGAACTATATGATACATATTTATATAATTCTGTATAGCATGGTGAGAATGCACAAGTAAGGTATCAGTCTCTGAAATTCTCATCCTAAAGATTTTTGGAGTAACTTCTATAGAACCATATTGACTTCACTTCTATTAAATTCCCTAGGACTTTTCCAAAAGGGAAAAACAAGATTACTATTTGCTGACAATAACGTCCATTATTGTCTGTCTTTTTCTGACCTTTCTCTTTTTTAACTTTTATCAGTCATCTAGCCAACAATATTTCTCTCAATAAGGAAAACTAACAGACTCACCTTCCAGTGTTTCACATTGCACTAGGTTGATGTAGTCTGCATTCGTCAAGATCCCAGATTTAAAACCTCGGACCAGCCCCTCCAGGTAGCCATGGTCCACATTGAAGTAAAACTCTGAGTACCCTGGCATGGAGAACAAGAGGGTTTAATTTCTGTGCTGTTCTGTAGAAGTGACAGCATTGAGTCTTGTGCTTCTCTTTTGACAGTGATGACCAGTAGTCACTAATTTCCAGTCAGCTTGTGGTTGGGTTTTACTGGCTTGTTTCTTCCTGTTTATTGCTCCCAGCAGAGTTTGGCTGCACTTTGCTTGATGCTTACAAAATACCAGCTAATCAGCCAGATAACAAATTTGTCCTTTCTGTCAGAATCAAAGACTGGACCTGCTGTGGGCTAAGGAAAAAGAGAAGAGGGGGGAAAGGATTTAACCACTGTTTAAATAAAATGATTTGGACCTCAACTTATAAAATACAATCAAGCTTGACTTAGATTTTTATGCTTCTCGACTATATTAGGGTCAGGTTTTTTTAGGTCATCTCTGATCACATATTAACAATGCTTGTACTAAGTTGCCTGAGTTCAGATGCTGCAAGGACCATTCAAAAAATCATATAATTTTAAATATGTGTTTTTACAAAAGAAGGAATTATCTTTTGCACTCCAGTAAAGAGAGTAATGTGTAAAAAATGAAAGATTACTATTCAGATGTCCTACCTCATCTTGAGGTATGATGGGATATACAAAGCCTGCACTGGTGAGGAAAGGGTTAAGGACATACTTTGAGCTTAATCAGTCTATCCCTGCTACACCTGCCCTAGGTGTCAAGCTTGGAGAGAGGAGTTAAAAGGGAAGAATACAACTCATTTGCGGGCTGACTTTGAAGAAGATCAGATCTCCAGCTCTCACTCTAAGAAAAGCTTGGGTGGGTTCAGGAAATGCTTGGGAGACTGCTGATTTCCAGAGTTTCCCTAAAGGAAGTAAGGCCTGGCATGAGATTGTCTTTTACCAGTGCCTGGCTTGTTCATTTGTAATAAGACTGTGACAACTAGATGAACACTATGGGCAGGGCTCGATAAACCGGGTGAGTAGATCTCAGCTGGTTGTTCCATGCACCCCATTCACCGGTACTGCGTGCATACACAGTGCCGGTCTGGCACATACACGGTGCGGGCTAGTGAGTAGCTCTTGCCGCAGTTCTTCGAGCCTTGACTACGGGTATGTCTACATTTGTATCCCTATTTTGAGATAGGGATGCAAATGTAGTGTACCAAAATTGCTAATGAAGCGCGGGATTTAAATATCCTGTGCTTAATTAGCATAATCGCGTCCGGCCACCATTTTGAAATCGCATTATTGCAAAATAAAACGCCCTGTTTAGCAGCGTTATTTTGAGAGAAAACCCTTCTCTCAAAATAACTGTTAAACCTCATTGTATGAGGAGAAGCAGTGATATCAAGAAAAGGGTTTTCTCCTGAAATAACTCAGCTACACAGGGCATTTTATTTTGCAATAATGCGATTTCAAAATGGTGGCCGGACGCGATTATGCTAATTAAGCACAGGATATTTAAATCCCGCGCTTCATTAGCAATTTTGGTACACTACATTTGCATCCCTATCTTGAGATAGGGAGCAAGTGTAGACATACCCTATCTGCCCTGAGTGTTGATAGTGATTTGTCCTGATATCAGGAGTGCTCTACCTCACAATCTTTATTGATATTTTCCCCCATCAGTCTTTTCCTCTGGGTGGTACTGTCACAGTCCAGGAGAACAAAACACAAACATTGAGACAAATACTAATTACTTCAGGTGTGTAACAAGAGTTGAAGTCAGCACCTCATCCCTCTTTCCGTCAGGCCTGACCACATATTGACTTCAATGAGAATCTTTCCATTGATTTCAATTGGGCTTTGGGTCAGGCCCAAACATTCCAGCCAAGAATGGATCCTCATAGAAATGTTTGAACCTCATAGGCCTTTGGAATGGGCACCTAGAAGTCACTTCCAAGCTATGACTTCCCCAGCATTCTGTCAAGCTTTATTCATACAAATGTCAAATTATCTTATTAAAATAAAGATATTATAAGATTGCTGGGCATCCTGCAGGGTTTTTTGAGCAAAGGACTCAAGAGTTTCTGATGGTGTTTTGCAGTTTGTCTACAAAATCCAAAATGTTAGTCCCCAAAGAAGGTGTAGCCCTCTCCTATTGCTGCTTCACCAATTGCAATGGCCCCTTAACCTCCGTGGTATGGGAGGGACATGGCCACCACCATTTGCTTCTGTCCCCACAAGGTTACTTCCCTCTGGGTCCTCGGGAACATCCTTCTGTCCCTCATCCTTGCTGTGCATGTTTGCCATGGAGTTGGACATCTGGGCCTGGTCTGGGGCTGAGCCTAATCTATATTCTTATGCATTTTAGAAAGACACCCGCCACCCCTGCACACAGGCAAAGTGAGAAAAATGGGTATGTCATTGAGGGTATGTCTACACTACCTCGCTAGTTCGAACTAGCGGGGTAATGTAGGCATACCACACTTGCAAATGAAGCCCGGGATTTGAATTTCCCGGGCTTCATTTGCATAAGCGGGGCGCCGCCATTTTTAAAACCCCGCTGGTTCGAACCCCGTGCAGCGCGGCTAAACGGGGCACGAACTAGGTAGTTCGAACTAGGCTTCCTAGTTCGAACTACCGTTACTCCTCGTGGAATGAGAAGCAGTGATATCAAGCGCTACCTATCTATCTCAGGGTGTTCTGTAGTATTCTCACCACTGTATCTAATCACAAGTATTGCAGTGGCATAAACATAACTTTTCACTTAGGCTAATGCTATGAGTTTCTAGTACTTACTACAGGAGAGTCTGCCTTTCAGTTTGTAGTCAATATCTGTACAGATGCACATCACTTTAGTGTCTCTGGAAACAACATGTAACTCTTTGTCAGTCGTTTTCCACTCTGTCCTAAACTTCTTTTACGTTGACTATCGTTATTTGCCAAGTGATTTCCCACTCCTTTAGACATATCTTTCAATGCTAACCATACAACCATTAGAGAGTAAATTGAGAGAAGAGGAGAAAACAAAATAAAACTCACAAACTTCATGAAGACTTGGCCTTCTACCATGTATGCTTATAGATGTGCTTTTACTGTGCAAACATATGCTCATAATGCTGAAAAGTCACTTACTCATGTGCCACTTCTTACTGAATTATATCCAAGAGACCTACCTGTGAGAGTAAATAAGCAGGATTTGACCAATTAATAAATTCCTTGAGGTATCCTCTTTCCTGAAGTATAAAATGCTAATACCTCAGGTGCTTCTTTAGGGCCACACTGTGAACTCCTTACTCCTACTGCTGACCAGTGATTTCTAAGTGTAGCCCTTTGAAATAGATGGGTCTTTCTATTAGCATAACTGTGATTAAGTATACTGTAGAGCACAGTCATTGCCTTGAGATGCTTCCTTACTACTAAAAGACACCTATTTTAACTTAAACCTGATATTTTGGTTTGGCTCAACAGACAATGATATTTTTTAAGGAAAACAAATAGACAAATAGTTCTACTGTGGAGCTATCAGCCAGTGTCCCCTCTGATCTTAGCTGTTGTGGTATAGAGAGAAATGGTCTCTAGAGATATATATGGGTTCCATACTGGGCTGAAAATGGCCTTAAAAATAAGGTTTAGGGTCTTAAATTGGACCATACATGTAGCTGGATTACATTCAACAAAATACTTGATAGATTTTTGGTGCAAGGAAAATTTACAAAAAGAAACTGCTTCGGTAATGGCTCAGAATAAATGTATATCACAATTTAGCACATGAAGAAACATTTTGAGTATCTCCTTTACAAGTAGAAGATTTTTTTTCTAATTAAATGGAAGTTGTCAAAGCACTGCAGCAGTCAGCTAAAACACTTGAGTGTTCCCTCATTTTGGTTAATTTGTCTTTATCTTTTTGGTCTCTTACACTCAAAAGAATGGCATTGCTCAATTCCTACCATTGCAACTTCTGGGTAGCAGTGGCTAAAACAGTCCATTTTTCTTATATTTTGGGGTTGACTAGAAGTTTATGCAAAATTCCATGAGTATTTACTCTGGTTATTTATACACAGATGTCATTTAGCATGAACAAGTTTCCATGCAAGAAAACGATAGTCACCTATTAATTTTGTAGGAGTATAGGTCAAGATTTTTCAAAAGAACTTATAGCTGAACAGCTTCATAGTAGTGAAACAAACACTGATAGCATGTAGATTGTGTTTGTAAGGGTAGGTTAGTTCAGGCCAAACAGAATTAACATGAAAAAATCTAAGAAGGTAGCCTTTGACTTCAAAAAGTTCAGAGTAACTCTTTGTGAGACAGCATATTTAGATTTTACCACAAGGGGTCACTGTACGACTTCAATAAACTACCTTTATTCCACTCTACCAATTTCGGTAACCAGAAACAAATGCTCAGAAAGAAGACAATTTTTTCTTTTTATAAAAGAACTAACTGATCTGAAGTTTAAAATGCAAAGAAAAATGAAAATAAGTTGAAGGTATGTATATTTACTTAAGTAAACAGTTCTGTTTCCCTTCTACATGCATATTAGTCATCCTCCCATGTGGTCTTCCTCTAAATATTTTCCTTTATCCTATTTTCCTCTCTTGTTGCAATGTCTGAAACCCCAGTAAAAGCAAGTATTACAAAGCCTGAATAACAAATGACAAAGAATCAGCAGATAGGGAGCACTGAGTAATTGGTGCTTTTCCACTGAAACTGATCTAAAAGTATATGAATTAAAAACTTTTTATGTAGATGGAAATAACTAAAGATACTATATTTTTACAGATATTGTATTGCTCTTTATTCAGGTAAAAGTATGTCTAACTTGCACTTTGCTAAATCAGAAATGAAATAATTCATGAAAGCCCTGTTCCTTTCTTTGCTCTTTCATTTTCTTTATAGTGTTACACTCCTGCTATTTAAGCCCCAAAATGTGACAGAGTTTGTTTGTTGCAATCTGAGAACATTAGCTGGGAAGTTGCTCTGTAAACCAGATTTTATTCATCTTCATTTCATAACACTTTAACTCTAGAAAGAATTTAGAATGCAACATTTCTAATATTCTGCTAACACATGCTTGGGATGGCTTTGAAAACCTGTGGGGACGTCTACACTACAGTTTTTTTTTTTTTAGAAAAACATCAGTTTTTCCGAAAAAACTTCATGTACATCACACTGAAATTGTGTTCTTTCAAAAAAAAAAAAAATCGAAAGAACAGAGCGGGGTTTCCGACACTGGTAAACCTCTTTCTATGAGGAAGAAGCCTTTTTCCGAAAGAGCTCTTTTAGAAAAAGGCGTGTGTGGATGGAGAAGAGGGAGTTCTTTCGAAAGAAGAGGAAAAAGC